AATTGTCCTCTGAGGATGCCTTTGCTATGTCCCAAAAGTTTTGGTATGATGTGTTTTCATTCTGTTTTGATTCTAGGACTTTTTTTATTCCATCTCTGATTTCTTCTATTACCTAGTGATATGTAAGCATGGCGTTATTCAGTTTCCATGTAATTGATTTTTTTCCTTACTCTTTCTGTTGTTAATTTCTACCTTGATGGCGTTGTGGTCAGAGAAGATACTTTGTATTATCTCAACGTTTTGGATCTTGTTGAGGATTGCTTTGTGGCCTAAGATGTGGTCTATTCTGGAGAACGTTCCATGTGCATTGGCAAAGAGTGTGTACTTTGCAGCTGTAGGGTCGAGTGTTCTATATATGTCTATGAGTTCAAGTTGGCTGATTGTGCCCTTTAGGTCTTCTGTATCTTTGCTGAATTTCTTTTTAGACGTCCTGTCCTTTACCGAGAGTGGTGTGTTGAAGTCTCCGACTATTATTGTGGATCTGTCAATTTCTCTTTTCAGTGCTGTTAAAGTTTGTTTTATGTATTGGGGAGACCTGTCATTGGGTGCGTAGATGTTTATTATGGTTATGTCTTCATGATGGATCATCCCCTTAATTATTATATAGTGTCCTTCTTTGTCTTTTATGGTGGATTTTGTTTTAAAGTCTATTTTATCTGAGATTAGTATTGCCACTGCTGTCTTTTTTGGTAGCGGTTTGCTTGATATATTTTTTTCCATCCTCTGATTTTTAATAAATTCACATCTTTGTTTCTAAGGTGTGTCTCTTGTAGACAGCATATTGATGAATCCTGTTTTTTTATTCCATCCTGTCACTCTCCATCTCTTTATGGGTGCATTGAGGCCATTTACATTCAGTGTAATTACTGATAGGTGTGAGTTTATTGCTGTCATTTTGTAGTTTTTTTTCTTTTTTTTTTTTTGGTGCTGACATTTTCTTTGTTGGTCTCACTCTCCTGTGCTGAATTCCTTTTGTTTGTGCTTTTTTTCTTTTGTTATTGTAGATTTCATTTTTACTGAGACTTTATGTTTTTCATCTTTATTTTTATGAGTTGGTTTGTTAACTTTCTTTGTGGTTACCTTGAAATTTAACCTTATCTTCCTAGGTTTGAACCATTCTATTATTACTAGGTATCGCCTTGTCTGCCTCTCCATTAGAAGGTTCTATACCTACACCGTTTATTCCCTCTTTTATTGTTCTGATGTTGTTGTCATTTACAGATCAACCTCTCTGGTTCCCTATCGTAATTATTTTCATTTTGGATAGTCCTTCAGAGTTCATTTCCTAGATTAGTATCTGGCTGGTACAATCCTGTGTCCTAGATTCAGCCTTTGAGCTGATGTTGTTTGTTCTTAGTTTGAAGAACTCCCTTTAATAATTCTTGTACATTTGTTTTTGATTTACATAGTCCATTAATTTCTGTTTATCTGGAAATGACCTAATTTCATCATCATATTTGAACGAGAGTTTTGCAGGATATATTGTTCTTGGCTGGCAATTTTTTTCTTTCAAGATTTTATATATGTCATCCCATTGCCTTCTTGCCTGCTTGGTTTCTGCCGAATAATACAAGCTTAGTCTTGTGTTTCTCCTCTGCATGTGACTTTTGTTTTTCTCAAGCTGCCCTCAGGATTTTTTGTTTGTTTTTGGTTTTAGCGAATGTGATTATGCTAAGCCTTGGTGATTTTTTGGGGGGGGTCTATCCTATATGGGGTTCGTTGAGCTTCCTGGATGGTCAGTATTTCATCTTTCAGGATATTGGGGAAATTTTCTGTCAGCAATTCTTCAAAGATTCTCTCTGTGTTTTCTGTTTTCTTCCCCTGTTCTGGAACTCTCATCACTTGAAGATTTTTGTTTTTGATTGTATCCCACATAATTCTCAAGCTTTCTTTATTTTTCTTTGTTCTTTTTTCTGATTTTTCCTCAAACAGAGCTATATCCAAGTGTTTGTCTTCAATTTCACTGATCCTGTCTTCCATCATTTCAAACCTGTTCCTCAGCCCTTCTATGACACTGTCCATTTCTGAAATCTTGTTGTTTATGTTTTGGATTTCTAATTGTTGTTTTTGTGTGATTTCTAGTTGTGAATTTATTTTAGCATTCTGTTCCTGTATTATTTTCTTGAATTCTTCCATTTATTTGTCTGTATTTTCCATGAATTTGTCTGCCTTTTCCACAAACTTGCCTATGTTTTCCTCATTTTTGTCTGCTTTTTTCTTCGAGTCTTGGATAATTCTGAATATTAAAATTTGAATTCCCTCTCAGGTAGTTCTAGTGCCTTTTCTTCTACTGGAAAGACATCTGGTGTTTTATTTTTGATGCCTACTGGAACCATCCTGTCCTGTTTTTGTATATGTTTTTATATTGTTTGCTGTCTTTGGGGCATTCAGTAGTTATTTTCATCATTTGTTGATTATAGATTTGTTTGTTTCATCCTGCTGTTTTGTTTTATTTGGTTATGTTTGAGCAGGTGGGCTGTGCGTTGTTTGTTGTTTGCTCATCTGTGGGCTCGATACTTTTCACCTCCTTCTCCAATGGGCAGGGTCAGTCACTCAGGTATGGTACAGCAGAGCAGGTGCTACTGAAGGGGAGTTGCTGGGATGGGTTGTTTGTGGCACGTATTATGGCTGACAGGGTGGGCTTGGAATCAGTGCATGGCAGGTTCTGGTAGGCTGTGCCTGTGCTGCGTGGGGATGTGATGTTCAGTGCACAGTGCAGGTAGGCGGGGGGTGGGGGGACTGTGATGTGTGGAGGTAAGATGGGTTTGGGAAAGAGGAGAAAGTGGAGAAACAGGATCCAAAAACATGGTCTCAAACAAAAAAGAGTGCTAAGGGAGCTTGCTACTGGAGTGGAGAGATGAGAGACTGGGAAATGGAGAAAAGGAAAAATGAAGAAAAAGAGTAAAAGAAAAAAATGAATAAATCAAGAAACTTGGAATGAAGAAAGACAAAAAGGGAAAAAGACAGGGAAGGAAACAAAACAAAGAAACAAATAAACAAAAAGAAACCAAAACCAAAAAGGAAAAAAAAAAAACACAAGAAAAAAGAAATGCCCCCAGGGATGTCACTGTGAGTCTGTGTAGAGTAAGGGAGTATCTAACAAGCCACACGGCACTGCCCGGCCAGAAGGGGCCCCCAAACCAAGAAAAGAAAAAGAAAATAAACAATAAATCAAAACAGAACAAACAAATGAACAAACAAAAAAAGCTCCGAGGGTCCCACCAGAGTGGTGGCATGGACCGGGAAGCAGTTCCACAGTTGTGCAGTGCTTCGCAGCCCCCCAGGAAGAAGCAAAGATGGCCACAGAGCCAGGTACTTGAGAGAAAGGAGGGGAGGTGGTGAGTAAGGAAGAAATCTAATGAAGCAGAAAAAAGCAACACCAGAAGTCAAAACGGCACTCAGGGAGCTGGACATTATGGGTTGGTGGAATCCAAGTGATATGGGGGTAAAGCCAGTGCTTCCTGGCCAAGAGACTGTGGCTGCAGGAAGCAGAGGAGGCTGAGTGGGGGTGAAGAAGGGTGGGGGCTGGGAAAGCATATATTGTTGGTTAATGGTTGTTCTGTCTCCTTCTGGAAGCTCCGTGAAGCTGCTTTCCTGTACCCCTTGTTTGCCAATCTCTGATAGGAGTCCAAGATGGTGGATCCGTGCTGCAGTAGCTGATAGGGGACCTCTGCATGTATCTCTCCTTGCTCTTTGTTCTCGGTCAGTTTCTTATTCTTTTTGGTGCTTGGCTGAGTTCTTTATCTCTTCATTTGATACTTAGGGTTTCAGCACTGACGTGTGACTCTGTTTGACTTAGTTTTTCAGATCTTTGCTGTGGAGGGACAGCGTGGTGCTTTTTGACTGTAGCGCCATGTTGCCCGGGAGTCCCTCAATGTTTTTAATGACTACGCTTCTTCAGCTTTCCCTTTAACATTTGAGATCCCTTGGCTTCTGATGGAGGCCTCAGTCAGAGGGAGGAGGTGGAGAGAGGAGTGTGTGTGTAAAAACGAGAATATCAGAGGTGTCTGTTCGAACTTCTCCAACCTCCCTCCTCAATCCTGACAATCACACCCTGCACCACTGAGATTCTGATATATGTCCCCAGGGCTGAGATGCTGAAATCACTCTCTTTAAGCATGTCTACTTTGAGTTTCAGAATTATCTCTCCTAATGTCTGCTATATGTCTCTGCTGAAATACCTCACAAGTATCCCAGACACAGTTTTCTAAAACTTACATCATCAACCATCCTCTTCTTACCCTCAAAGGCTGCTTTTCTTGGAATTCCTTACCTTTGTAATATGGTATACTCTCTACTCAGTCATTCAAGCTAGAAAGTAGATGTTAGTAAATAATATCATAAAATGACACAAAATTGTTGAACATTTACTTTGTGCTGGGCACTATTGTAAGCTATACATATATTTTCCTATTTATTGCTCAAAACAACTCTCTGAGTTAATGCTAATGTTAGCCCAATTTTATATATGAAGAAAGCGGAGCAAAAGTAGTTGAGTAAATTCTACAATATCACACAGCTAGTAAGTGGTGAAGCCAGGATTCAAAGCCCAGCTGTCTGGATCCACAGCACATACCCAACCTCTATATTCTCTCTATCAGAAAACTATTCAAGGCAAAGAAAGCATATTTTGCATTTCAGACTCTGCCTTCCCAAAGTCTCTTTTCTTATTGCATTATATTACCCAAGACCTGATTCTTTCTTTTAGCCTGGAGTTGATTTTTATAACATAATATACCATCTGATGCTCATCTACCATATGAAAGTTTCAGTCTAAAGAAGAAGTGAACAGTAGCCTGAGAACATGAAGAGTGAAAACAGATGAAGCTGCCACCATATTCCTGAAATTCAGTTTCTTTCCTATAAGGTAAATGAGTAGAATAGTCCAAAGAAATGTAAGAATGGTTCAACATTCTCAAAAGCAAGTTGAAATCTATTTTCTGACCTACTGATTTCAAAAGGCAGAGACATAATTATTTTTTAAAAATACTAGAACATACCTGTGTTGAGGCTGTAAACCGTAAATGTCATGGTTAAATTGTGCATTTAATTTATTCTCAGCCCATCTGTTGATTAAAAATGTCGGGTAGAGTTTGTTGAGGACAGAGTTAAAACGAGTCAAGAGAACGGTGTCCACGGGCATCCCGTTATCCCAGACCCAACACCAAATCCATGTACCCCGCCTTGTGCTGAGGAATACCTAGGAGTAAATACAAATAAATTAAAAGTAGCTGCCTCACAATATAAGTTTTCTTTCATAACATCCTTTTCTCAGTACCTCATGTATCTTTTATTTGTCTCACTAGGAAAAATGAATAAGAACTCTTTTGCCTTTTTACCAGGTATACAACAGATATAGTCACAGACAGATACACACACAAACCCAGGCACACACCTAACATATTGCTTATGGCTCCAGAGATCTGCCCAAGCCTCCCTCTGGATCTCACCCACTATTCCTTTGAATATTCTCCAAAGCAATATTTAAAGCCTGGACTCTCTTAAGTTTCAAATTCTGAGAAAACAAAATAATGCAAAAAGACTAGAAATCAACAAATTGACACATGAAGTCCCATCCATCTGCTAATTACAGTATTGTAGCATTTATAACATATAATTAATCTGTGTACCTAGAAATTTAGGTACATAAGGGATCAGAGTTGGGAGGTAATGTCAAGTGTCACGTCAATGAACATTAAAAGGATTTTAAAAAGTGGTTTTCTGTTATGCTCCTTTTTAAAATTCTTGGCTGAGCCAATGAAGCTCACATTCTTTGGTAAAAATAAACAATATGCCAGTCATTAAAGTTTGAAAAATTTATTTTTTGTTCCATTCTCACTGTTTTTGGAATGGATTACCAAAATGTCTTCCAAGTATGAAGAGATAATTACCCATCAGAACTGAAGCAATGTAAGAACATGCTACACACATGTCATACAATACTTCCATCTCAGAGGGCTTTGGGCAGGCTATACCGAGAAGAGCATTTTAGGAGCCAAACCTGTGTGGCTACATGACTGAGCTCAATTGCCAAATCAGCTGCAGAATTTCCAATGCTGATCACAATAATTCTCTTCCCCTGAAATTTCTCTGGTATCTTGTATTCCCAACTGTGCATATATTGACCTTTGAACTTCTTGATCCCTGTGGGTAAGAAAAGAATTGCTCAAGCCTTACCCAAAAAGAGGTCTGGCTTTTGTCCTCAGCTACTGGGAGGTGATGTGTAGGCATCTGAATGTCCTACCTGATAAGAGTGTCTTTACCTGAGAGCCTTGGCCATCAGACAGTCTAACAATGGGATTTATGATGGGGGCTTTGGAATATGTTATATAAGTTGCAACCTCTGGAGTAAGTGGAGACTAAAGGTATTAGCTTGACACCTGGGACGGACTGGAGACTAAAGGTCAGCCATGTGGATAGTATGTGATTGAGCTCCAATAAAACTCTGGATACCAAAGGCTGAGGTGAGCTTTCCTGGTTGGCAATACTCTGTGCATGGTTACACATCATGGCTTGGAGAAGGTTACACCATCCATGATTCCACTGGGAAAAGATGACTGGAAGCTCCATATTTGGACCCTTCCTATGCATTTTTCATTCTCTACATTTCTTCCTTTGGCTAATTTTGACCTGTATCCTTTATGTGTAATAAGTCATTAGCATAATAGCTTTCAGTGAAGTCTGTGAGTTCTTCTAGAAAATTATCAAACCTGAGGGAGGTTGTAGGGTTCCCCTAATTTGTCACCAGTTGGTCTGAAGTGAGGGTGGTTTGGGGAAACTCTTGGTATCAGAAGTGTTGGGCAGACTTGGCAGTCTAGAGGACTGTGCCGTCAACTGCACAGTTTGACTAACTCCAGGTAATCCTATTGAAACATCTCATTTATTGGTCTACTGATGATAGTTCTGTGGACTGTGCTTGCCAGCCATCAACAGACAGAATGAATCTTCTTACAGTTTTGTTCTAGATTGTAAATTCCATCCTCAAACAAAGCCCAGGCTTCTAAGAAATTTAGATATCTCATTTTTGCCTCCTTTTCATTCATCTGTATACTGCCAAGTACTCAAGAGGAACTCACTCTTATTAGGTAATACATCTTCCTGACCTGTCATCCCTGTTATTTACAACTACTGCACAAGACCAATTCTTTATGTTTTGCTTTCTGACCCAAGCTTCATCCTTGTCTACCTTGTTTTCATCTCCTCCTGGACACAGTACACCCTTCTTGCTAGCACTATCCACTCTGCTCTCCCTCTGGGGCAAAGGCTTTAACATCACCCACAGAATCTGAAGCTAAGAGGAAGTAAGCACTTCCTATTTTTGACTAAAATACATTTGCTCTGATTTAAAGAGAAGCCTCACGTGGCAAAGCCACAAAATTGGCTGATTAAAAACTGGCATTTCATTTTTTAAACTACATGTGGTCTGTACATATGGGCTTTTCCTGCTCTGCTTGTGACACTGGACAGCCCTACTTGGTCCTGATTGTGGTTCAGCCTTTGCCCTGTTCCTTTATCCCCACAAGATTACTCAAATCTCCCTTTCTCATTGAAGCCACCTGATCTAATATAGCAACATAGTCTCCTACCCCAAAAGCTTCATCCCTCTTTCCTGCTTAATTTTTCTTTTCAACAACTGTCACCTCCAACGTACTTATCCTATTTGTTTCTGTCTCCATCCCCTACCAAGCAAACTCCTTGAGGGAGAGGTTTTGCCTGTTTTGTCTCTGCTAAATCTCTGGCACACAGTCAGTGCTGAATAAGCATTTCTTGAATGAATGTTGAATGAATGAATACAGAAATATTTAAATCTCTAACTAAGTAAATAAAAAATATATTTCTCTTGAGCATTATTACCTTCTCTATCTTTAACAGTGGGAAACAGGCACTCATAGCAAGTAGGGGGGACTCCAACATCTCCTGAAAATCCCAGAAGTGTCTAAGCTTCAGCCTTCTCCAGGGAGACTGAGTATATATCCTGCTTCTAGAGGGAAACAGGGAGACCTCATGCTAGTAAATCATTCTGGCACTGTTCCTTGCATGCAGAGTTTTTAAGGTTCCAAATGGTAAATAATAGTATTGGCAGTTGTTCTGATATGCATGGTGACACGAACACATAGCCATTTTTATTCATAGTGCTAAACACACACACACATTTATAAATAAAGCTAAATCTTAAAATATTTTCTGTAGCTGCGACCTTACTGTTTACTCCGAACTATGATCAACACCCAACAATTCCCACATTTTAGCTTCAAATTGTGGTACACCATAGAGCTTTTCTCTCAAAATAAACCAAAGTGGTGGTGATGAGATATTAGTAATTTTTATTTTCAATTTGTAACATTATATATTATTTGAGTGGTCTTTCAAAGAGCATGCATTTCTTTATAATCAGGAAAATGTATATTTATTTTGAAAATATAGTGACTGTCAGAGTTATAAACCTTCTTCAAAAATAACAACAGCAACAATGACAAAACCCTACAAAATCATTGCCTTAGAGATCTATATGACATACCTGGAAAGTTGTGGAGTGGTAAGAATGGATCAGCATAAAAGCCAGTGCACACCATGATCCCATCAAAGACATAGGATTTCTGCTTCCCTTCAGCCTCTACCACAACATCCCACTGTCCTGTGGAGGAGAAGTCGGGGCGCTTCCTCACACCACGTATCTTTGACTGGGGATGAGACAAACCTAGACTCATGAGAACTGCTCCCAATTTCCCTCCTTTCCCAGGATTCTCGATCTCAATGAATAAAGTTGGTTGTAGCTACTCTCCCTAAGCAAATTTCCATACCTAGGGTTTCACAAAAAAAATTTCTTTATAATTGCCTTTCCCTACCAACACCTTTTGAAGTAGAGGCATGGTCTGGTTTGCTCCAATTGTGATTTTGAATTTAGTTAGTTGTGAGCCAACACTCGATGTCCAGTCTGGTGTTTTAGCTAAACCACCATACTTTTTTTCCTGAAGGAAATGAGAAGAGAAGCTGCCCTAACTGTATGTAAAGTTAACACCGTGGTGGTGTAGTCACCTCCAAGACTGAGGAGACAACTTACCACACTTTGCCCTGGCCTGGCTCTTGACTCTACCAAAAGTGTTCCACAGTCCCACTTACCAGAAACTGGATGTATTTCATAAGGTTAAAGTGTTTCGTGTACATCCTGAGGTACTCCAAGATTCTGGAATTGTGCACATAGTTGGGATAATGATCAGGGAATGGGAAATCACTATAGGCAGTCATTTCCTTGGAAGTGTTGCAGATGACAGATTTATAGATACTTGGCCTGCCACTGTCAGTCTTCTCCTATCAAGAAAAAAAGGTTTTTATAATAGAAGAGTAACAGTTAAAAAAGGTATCTCTGTATATGTCAAATTGTGAGGTACTTGGCTGAGTTCTTTCAAAGAAAGTAAAGTTAATTTTCCATTGCCTTTACTAAGAGATATGATATCTTATGGTAAAAAAGAGCAAATAATTTTGTGGGGAACACACAGAAAGACATGAAGAGAAAAATATTAATAGAACACCATGACAGTTAAACCAGTTGCCATTGAGTTGATTCTGATTCATGGCAACCCCATATGTGTTAGAGTAGAACTGTGCTCCATAGGGTTTTTGATGGATGATTTTTTGGAAATTGAGATCCAAACCTTTCTTTCTTTTGAGGCACTATGGGTGGACTCACATATAGAACACCAGAGGGTGAAAATAACAGAGGACATAAACTGCCTCTGCCCACAGAGCTGGATGGGAGTCAGAGTCCTAGACTGAAGGGTGGCTGGAGAGTCCTGGTTGAGAGATAGTCAGGAAGTCCTGCTTGTGGTGACTGATGAAAAAGGACAAAGAGCATAATAAGAATAACTTAATTTTTTACTTTTTAATTGCATTTTTTCTAATTACAAAGTTGAGGAATCGGACTGAGTGGTGGGAGGAGAGGGAGACAGTTCTGAAGAAGTGAGAAGTGCTGGACCCCGGCTGGAGCCACAGCTCTTCAGCCCAGACTGGGTCTGAGGTACGCAGTGAAGCAGGCAAACAGCTGTGCTTGCACTCAGGAGGCAGTTTCCACATTGAGAGAGGTCCGGCAGCAGAGATTCTGCTTGGACACTCCGAACCAGTGAAAAGCAGCTCCCAGGTGGCTAAAGATAAGTACATGCGTGCGGCCTTTCACTGGGATTTAAAAAAAAAAAAAAAAGCCCAGTTGGGAAAAATCTCTCTCCCTTTTACCTCCTCCCTCCCTGCTCTGCACTGGAAGTCCGCTGGGCCAGAAGTGGATCCCAAAATGTGTTCTGACCCATCCTCTTGGCCTTGAAGAGGGAACAAATAAGCTACTGGCTCCCCTAAGCCAGGAACTCAGGGTCGGCACAGCTCCTTTGCTAGGCACGGGCATAAGGGGTCCACAGACTTTGAGTGCCTTACAGCCCTGTATAGACTTGTGGGGACCCATCTTAACAGCATTAGCCCTCACTACCACAGTACAACAAGGTAAACATCTGAAGTTTAACTTCAACAGTTTCAGCTGTGAAGTGGCAGATTTGTGACCGTCAATACAGCCCTGCCCCTTAAGCAGGTACCTTTACCAATCCACATCAGGGGCCTGAGGACTAGTGGTGTCACCTATGCCACCTAGTCACCTGCTACAGGAGTCCAAGAAAAAGTGGTGCCCTCGAATCTTTACAGCCAGCAGGGTGGGGTGCTCATAGTCTGGCTGCAAAACTCAACTACCTACTCATCCTAGGGAATAGGGACATGCTTTCCTTTCAGACTGTCAGGGGTAGCCTTCAGCTCCCTGCCTGGCTCAACGTGTGACTCCCTACCACAGCCAGATATCAGTGCCTACACCAATCACCCATGCCTCTCTAAGACTGTAGGTGAGAACCTGAACCACACACTTGGTGATCGACTGCCTGGACACCTGAGCTGAACCCATATAGGAAAATTTAACAGAATCCTGTGTGCACATACTTAGTTACAGAACTAACTACCTGGTGACAGGACATTAGAGCTTCAAAGGTGCCAATAATCAAACTAGCACACACGAGCAGCCTATTGGGGCATATCAAAACAAAACAAAACAAAACAAGAAGCTAGGACTCACTAAACAAATATAAAATAAAATTATAATAACTTATTCATGGCTTGGAGACAACAGTCAATATCAAATCACATAAAGAGGCAGTCCATGATGGCTTCAGCAAGCTCCCAAAATAAAGAATCGATAAATTTAATGGAGGAAGAGAATTTCTTGGAATTACCAGAGGCAGAATACAGAAGATTAATATACAGAACTCTTCTAGAAATTAGAAAGGAATTCAACAAAATGCACAAACTTCCAAAGAACATACAGAGAAAGTAGTAGTGGAACATGAAAAAAGTTATTCAAGACCATAATGACAAATTTAATAAGCTGCAAGAATCCATAGAGAGACAGCAATCAGAGATCCAGAAGATAACAATAAAATTTCAGAATTAGACAACTCAATAGAAAGTCATAGGAGCAGAATTGAGGCAGTAGAAGCTAAAATTAGTGACATTGATGATAAAGCAATTGATGCCAACTAATTTCAGGAAACATCAGATAAAAAAATGAAAAAGAATGAAAAAACTCTAAGAGTCATGTGGGACTCTATCAAAAGAAATAACCTACGAGTGATTGGAGTACCAGAACAGAGGGGGATAACAAAAATACAGAGAAAATCGTTGAAGATTTGTTGACAGAAAACTACCCTCATATCATGAAAGACTAGAAGGTATCTATCCAAGATGCTCATTGAAGCCCACATAAGGTAGATCCCAAAAGAAAGTCACCAAGACATATTATACTCAAAATTACCAAAACCAAAGATAAAGAGAGAATTTTAAGAGCATCTAGGGATAAATGAAAAGTCATCTACAAAGTAGAGTCAATTAGAATAAGCTCAGACTACTCAGCAGGAACCTTGCAGGCAAGAAGGCAATGGGATGACATATATAACGCCTTGAAGGAAAACAACTACCAGCCAAGAATTATATATCCAACAAAACTGTCTCTCAAATATGAAGGCGAAATTGGGGCATTTCCAGATAAACAGAAGTTTAGGGAATTTGCAAAAACCGAACCAAAATTACAAGAAATACTAAAGGGAGCCTACGGTTAGATAATCAATAACATCAGATAACTACGCAAGACTAGAACACAGGACAGAGCAACCAGATATTGACTCAGATATGGATATCGAAAATACTTGAAAGCTAAAACATTGAAAATAGGGAAACAGAGATATCAATACGTAAAAAAGGAGAACATTGAAACAAAAACAGAGACTTAAAAAATGCAGACATTGATTTTTCATATGGCGGGGAAGTTAAGGTGATATAAAATAATAAAAGACTGGTATAAACTTAGAAAAATAGGGGTATATATGAAGGTAACCATAAAGGAATCTAACAATCCTACAAATCAAAATAAAAAACTAGAAAAACATAAAGACCCAGCAAACACAAAATCTATAACAATGAAAAAGATGAAAAAAAAAATACATAAAGAAAAACGACTCAGCACAGAAAATTAAGGGGAACAAAGAAACTGTGAACAACACATAAAAAGAGACATCAGGATGACAGCACTAAACTCATGCCTATCAATAATTACGCTGAATGTAAATAGCCTCAATGCACCAATAAAGAGACAGAGAGTGGCAGATTGGATAAAAAAGCATGATCCATCTATATGCTGCCTACAAGAGACGCACCTTAGACTTAAGGACACAAACAGGCTAAAACTCAAAGGATGGGAAAAAAATATATCAAGTAAACAACACTCGAAAAAGAGCAGGAGTGGCAATATTAATCTCTGACAAAATAGAATTTAAAGTAAAATCCACCACAAAGGATAAGGAAGGGCACTATATAATGATTAAAGGGTCAATACACCAGGAGGACATAACTATAATAAATATTTA